ATAGAGACCACAGTTTGTTAGCAGTGACCAGGGCCAGGAGGTTAACATTGATGGAAAGATCACGTGAATCGGGGTGGGGGTGGATTGCACAGCCCATCATTATAATTGTTGTCAGGAAGTTGTACTCCCAAGAAGCACAAGGGACTTGGTCTCTTGGTTTGGGGACATTTGGGTGGTGGTTTCCAGGGCATCCCAGTTATTTGGCCTAATGGGTTTAAGGCTTTTGGTCCCCCTCCCAGCTGTAGTCGATTGCCTAGAGTCTTAGGCACAATAATCGATCTCACTTTACCTGGAACAAGAGAGGACAAAAGAGAGTCGGGAACAGGTGGAGAAAATGGAATGTTCATAGAGGCCAGTTACCTCCATGAACAACTGCCGCCTTTGCCAGGAGGCCGGAAGAACCGGATGGGGCCCAGCTCTCATGACTGGGTGTTTTAATCAAAGATTTCATAGTTAAATCCTGATCAAAAGGTGGGAAATGTAGAACATAAATTTGAATTTTCATGGATTCAGACAGGCAGGCGCCGTGAAGGCTGAATGAACCTTGGAGACTGCTTGTCTTTATACCTGAAACCAAAACTATGAAGTCTTCTTTAACTTCAAACGGTAGTTTAACTGTTGTAATGGCGTGACCATTGTTGCTGCTTAACCATTAAAAAATAGTGGTCGCTTTGAGTCTTATGTTCCTTTGAGGATGGTCTGCATGGAATCGATAGACAACAGGAACTGTAAAGATCAGACAGGAATCTTGTAGGGCAGTGAGTGGATGTGACCGGAGAGAAACAACTCAGAAAAGGAGGACAGACGAGGAGGGCTGCCCCACTCAAAGCCTGCACGCGCTGTCACTGCACCGTACACACTGCGGTATGTGTGCTAAACACATACTGTGCGTGTCCTCAACAAGAGACACTGGCCAACCGCACTTCACTAAGATTAAGAAGTTCCTTCGAAGAAAAGATACTATTCAGAGAAGAAAATGACAAACCAACGATATTGAGACAGTCAAACCTCCAACAGCCGAGACCCGAGTCAGAGACGGGAAAACCCAAATCCTTCCTGCTCATAGAGGACAGTGGACAAGTGACAGAGCTGCACCACGTCCAGGGCAGGAAACTTGAGACCCAAAAGGCCAAGGCATCCATCTCGCGCTCTGGTACTCACAGACAGTCACTGTAGTTACAAAGAGTCTAGCAGACCAGTAACTCCATATGCAGATGATTTCAGAAGGTAAAATCAAGAAGGCTCAACAAAAAGTGTGCATGAGACTTGCACAGGTACTGCACAAATGACCAGTAAATACACAGTCAAGAAAGACATGGCCGTGCATCCACTCTGACTCACATCAACCCTAGAGGGCAGAGTCAATCGCCCACGGAGCAGCTAATAGGTTCGAACCATTGCCCTTCCAGTTAGGAGCTGAGCACATAACCACTGCACTAGTAGGACTCCTAAATGGCGAGTGGGGCCTATGGTAAGGGACTCCACATTTAAAAAATAAAAAGAGTAAAAGCCATCATGAGGTAGTCTAATTGGCCACATGGCTGAGATTAAAAACCGTGACCTGACTCTACATTGAGAAGAATAAGGAGCAGGAGAGCTCTCTCCCATCAGGCTCTCTCTTACATTGGTACAATCACAATGGGAAACTATTTGGAAATATTTACTAAGACCCATCACATGTATACCCTAGAGGCCAGTCCTAGAAGTGAGTGGACACGCCCACCAAAAAGACACACATACAGTCACTGCAGTTTTGTTAGTAACCCCAAGTTGATGACAACCCAAAGGTCCAACAACAGTTGTTAGTTGTTCAGTGCCATCAAGTCAGTTCCAACTGCTGGCAGCCCTATGTACGATAAACAAGACACTGTCCCAGCCTGCACCATGTACGATAAACAAGACACTGTCCCAGCCTGTACCATCCTTACAATTGTTATGCTTGATGCCCTCTTGGCAGCCTTTGTATAAATCCATCTTGTTGAGGGTGCTCCTCTTTTGTGCTGACCAGCTCTACTTAACAAGCACAATGTACTTTCCCAGGACTGGCCCCTCCTGATAACATGTCCAAAGTACACGCGATGAAGTCTCTCCATCCCTGCTCCTAAAATTTGTTTCTTCTTCTTCTGGCAGTCCATGGTAATATCAACATTCTTCTCCAATACCATAATTAGAATGCATCAATTCTTCTTTGTCTTCCTTATCCACTGTCCAATTTTCACATGCATGAGACGAATGAAAACACCATGGCTTAGATCGGGCGCGCCTTAGTCTGCAAAGTGACACCCTTGTTCTTCAACACTTTAAAAAGTCTTGGGCAGATTTACCCAATGCAATACATCATTTGACTTCCTGACTTGTTTCCATGAGTGTTGATTGTAGATCCAAGCAAGATGAAATCCTTGGCAACTTCAATCTTTTCTCCATTTACCATGGAGCCTATTGATCCAGCTGTGAGGATATGGGTTTTCTTTACATTGAGTTGTCATCCAGACTGAAGGCTGCAGTCCTTCCATCTTCATCAGCAAGTGCTTCAAGTCCTCCTCACTTTCAGCAAGCAAGGTTGTATCACCTGCATATCACAGGTCGTTAATAAGCCTTCTTCCAATCCTGATGCCAGGTTCTTCTGTATATGTGTGTTAGTCGGGTAGAATAAAGAAACAAATCCAGGGAAATTCATATATGAATAGGAAAGAGCTTTATATAAAAAGTAATTGTACATTAAGAAAACATCCCAGCTCATTCCAGATCAAGTCCCTAAGTCTGATATTAGCCCATATGTCCAGTACCAGTCTGTAAATTCCTCTTCAGACTCACACAACACACGCAATGACACCGATTGAAGGAAGATCACAGGCCAGTGGGTAGACAGTCTTGTGGATCCAGTGGTGGTGGAAGCATCTCAGCGCTGGCGTGGGTCTCGTGGCTCCTCCAGCTCCAAGGCTCTGGGTGCCATTAGCATAGCTCCATCTGGCTTGTCAACAGGAAAGTCTGGCAGGGAGTAAATGAATGTCCCCACCTCCAGCAAGCCATTTATCTCTGTAGTGCCTCCAAATGAGGTCATCAAGCTGCAACCTGACTGACAGGCTAAACTCACCCTCTTCACTCTTAATAGTCTCAAGTTGACAACAGATTATGTAACTACCACAATATGGTCCAGCCAAATACATTGTGGTGTATACATTTCATGGGTTAAAAATAAAACATGGCCGTTGAGTCAATTCCAACTCATAGCACGCCTGTAGGATAAAGCAGAACTGCTCCCTAGGGTTTCCATGACTCTGATCATCAGAAGCAGACAATCACATCTTTTAACAGTGAGTTTGATCTTCAACAAACTACAACAGGGCCGACCTCCTAAAAGACTGTCCCTGTGAGTTTCTGAAGCTGTAACTCTTTATGGGCATCGAGAACCCCATCTGTTTCTCTCGGAGTGGCTGACGGTTAGCAGCCCAACTTGTAACCCCTCAGAATACTACTCAGCAATTTAAAAAGAAAAGCCACGGCTACACACAAAATAGATGAATCTCACACAAAAATACCGATGACCCAAAAAAAGCCAGATCAAGAAGATTACATGCTGTATGGTTACATTTCAATGGAATTCAAGAACAGTCAACAAACCGATCAACGGTGACAGATGTCAGGTGTAGTATCATCTGGGGCTGGGAAGGTGCGGTACTGATCGGAAAGGGACCTGAGGGGCGTTGGAAATGGCTTATATTTTTATTTTGGTGGTGATGACACAGGGAGATGCATCTGTGAAAATCTGTCTCCTAACTGTATGTATATTTCACCTCACCAGCAAAAAACCTTAAGGATTTTTTTTTTTTTGGTAGATAAAAGTCCTACCCATCCTTCAGGTTCAAATATTACTGCATCCCTAAAGTTTTGCCATCAGGACCTCCATAGCAATCTAATGTCATTTCCTTCATACCCTTTATCCCATCAAAGAAAAAAACAAACTCATGGTCATTAAGTCAATACTGACTCATAGCAACCCTACATATAGGTCAGGGGAGAACTACCCCTGTAGGTTTCTGAAGGTGTAACTCTTTATAGGTGTAAAAAGCCTCATCTTTTTCTGTCTAGCAGCTGGTGGTTTTGAATCTCTGACCTTGTGTTTAGCAGCCTAATTCCTAACCACTATACCTGGGCTCCCCCATTTATCCCACTCCACTTTAAATCTAAGCGTCGACTCCTGAATGTCCTCTAAATCGATGGTTGGCGTCCTGGGGGCCACTTCTTTCACCTTTTACCCACATAATGCCTGGGCAAACAACGGAAACTGAAAACGTTTGCCAGATCACATGGAAGAAAACACTGGGGGGGGTGGTGCCAAATGGGTGAAAAAGAGGACAGGAAGAGGCGAGCACACTTGGGAAAGCAGACAGGATGTCGCCAAGGAAACCTTGTCGTGCAGCGGTTTTACCAGTTCCTGAAATCAAATGTCACGTTGACAACGAAGGAAGCCATCAAAACTCTCACCTAGACTGAAGACACACACCGAGCCCGCTCCTTCACTTGCAGGAAATCCACCCTGTAAGTGCTTACCTAACCTCTGCGGGTGTTGCAAGCCTGGACGGGAAAACTACATGAAAATTTTGTTGACAAAAGATAATAACAATCACATGGCCGGCCAAACCTCTAAAAATATCTCCGCCCCAGTGTGGTGCAAAGAGCCCAGGCTGCGGGTCAAGAGACGCGGGGCCAATTTTAACTGCCCCAGCTAGCAGTGACCTACGCCCAATCTCCGTCTTCCCGGGCCTCGATTGTAAGACAACAGGGGGGTTGGATTAGCAAATTCTCTCGGGTCTCTTCCTGTGTTGATATTCTGAGCTCAAGTTCATAAACCTCCCAGTCCAACGCAGGAACACGTCAGAAACATCTGCAGCCCACATCAAAGTCGCCCCGAACCAACACACAAGAGGAATGTGAAGGAGTCATGCTGTTAGCCTTTATCATGGTTAATCGGTGATGTTGTTTGTTGTTTTCAGCCTTACCACGATTTGCAGGAGAATGCTGAGTTCCATGCAAACAGAAGTTAGCTCTCTGTGGGCTGTCATCTTCATTTCAAGGTGCGGAAGGTCTTCCTGCCAGGTCTCAAGTCTCGGGATTCCGAAATTAGGAAGAGCTGCGGGCGGGTTAAAGAATTTGCGCACACTGCGCGGCACACTGGAGTCGAAGTTACAGGGAACGGAGTGCAGGGGATGCTGGGATTTGTAGTCCGTGGGCTCCTCTGTTGCACGCCGGGGTCTGTGGTCCCCTGGGCGCGCCAGGGGGGTGCTGGGAAATGTAGTCTCGGCCACATCGTCCGGTGCAACCCGTTGTCATCTCCGAGCCCCAGTGTGCCCAGCGACGGGAGCAGGCCCCTGGAGTCTTTGTAGCTGTGAAGCCAACCCTCCGCTGGGGCAAACTCCAGGCAACAACACCCGGTGAAAATTTTGTCCTAAGGGACTTCCCGGGAAGGGCCCTTCCCACTGACGTCCCCCATCCCCCTGCGAAGCCGCTGAGTGTTTCTATTGGCTGACCGGGATGCCAATCTCAGAAGTGAGCTTTCCCATTGGCCACGGGGGCGGACGCCGGGAGGCTAGAGGGAAGGAGAAGGGATAAGGAGCGGGAGCTGAGGGGAGGGAGAGGCCGGTCCGGGTCTGGCCGCTGCCGCTACTCGCCCGAGGTCTTCTGGCCGGGCTGCGGCTCCGTCCTCGGCTCCTGGACACCATCTGCGAGGCTCCGCCGGGCCAGCGTGGAAGAGCCGCGGGCGGCGGCCGCCGC